ATAAAATAAAATTTAAAAGAAAAACAAAAAAACTAAAATCAAAAACAACCAAACTAACATACAAAAATAAAATAAAAAAAGTCTTGGCATGGAAGCTGTAGTGAGTCACACAGTAAACCCTTAGCCCATATGTCTTTACTTGTAATTGTTCAATGCCATCAGTCCTTCGTTGGTTTGGTTTGAGGCCTCTGCCTTCTGCTATACCCTCGATACTGGACACTCACTGGGACTCCTCTTGGCTATCCTGTTGTTGCCCTGTGCCATGGAGATCCTGTAGCTTTGGATCTGCAGGTCCGGGCCCTTCGCATACTCCAGCAGTTCATAGATGAGGTGGATGTTGGGGTGGGCCAACTCACAGCCCTGGTTCTGGGCCTGGGTGGTAGCTGGGTTGGTCAGCCCGCCAGCTTTGCCTCATCGACACCACCAAGGTGAGCTCTCCAGCATGGCCCAGCTAGCTTCACCCTCAGCAGCAGCGATTTTCCTGTTCTGATGCCCTCGGGGCGGCTTACCCACACTCACACCACCAGGGCCAGCTCTGTTTTGTCCAGGCGAGGTGCAGAGTCTGTGGGATTTTTTTTTTTTTTTTTTTTTTTTATTAACCTAGATAACCTCAGAAACAAGTTATCCTAAGTCACTGATTTTTCTCATTCCTCCTCCCCATTTGTATCAATTATTCACTATAGTCTGATTAAATAGTAGTGTAAGATCCTGGCTTGAGAATGTGTTTAGTTCCTTTCAGCAATAGATACAGAAAACCTTGACTGCTTTTGAAGTTTAAGGAGCTCACTCAGTTTCTTATCTTTCTCCTCTGCACAGTTCCTCCAGACTTGAGCAATGTGATGGGATAGAAGGAGAAGGCTGAAGGGACTGATTTAGAGAGGCTCTGTGAAAAAAATGTGGCCTGTCTAGGTTTGAGCCCTTCCTGGAAAGTAGGAAATTGCTTGTAGGTGGTAGATAAGTGATGGCTGTAGATTACAAGATAAGTGTAGTCTTCACGCCTCATCAAGGAAACTTCTCTAACAGATGGAGACCACTACAGAAAACCATAACCAATCCAAATGCAGAGTTGTAGAGCCTAGTTCTGATGGATACATCTTTAAAACAGCTCTTATACCTAAGGTGCAGGGAACATTGTGGAACAGGGGACAGAAAGATGCTAAGAGTCAGGAAATCTGCTGTGAGGTCCTGTCTTCTAGTAACATCAGAAGCCACATCCGCGAAGTCTCACCTGCGTGACCACCCAAACGTGAGCTGAACGAGGAGGAGGAGGAGGACAGCAGTGAACATGCCAACCTGGATGGGGAAGAGCATACTGATGGGCTGTCCAGTGCCCGACAGTCGGCCCTGGTGAAGGCATATGTATGGGTAATGTTATGCAGACTCAACGGGTCACATTTAGGAGAATATATGTATATGTATACATATATACATGCAATAACAATTATTGAAAAAAGAGGCGGTGAATTTGAAGGAGAGTGTGAACAGGGTGGAATATGTGAAGGTTTTGAGAGAGGAAAGGGAAGGGAGAAATGTTGTAATGAAATTATATTCTCAAATGAATTAAAAAGGAAAAGGTATGGGTTAAATCCTCCAGTCCAAATAGTATCTGTAGCCTGTTCTGTTTGAAAGTGCAGGTCTTCCGCTTCAGCAGCCCACACTGAGGCTGAGAGTGGTTTATCCTGTTCTTGCTGGGCGGTTGCCTCCCCTAGACAATGTTGTAATGACAGGTACTAGCCCATGGTCTCGCTTTGTAGTAGGGTTTTGATAGATGTTTGTTAAGTTTAATTGGTTGGTGACTTAGGAAGTAGTGAGGTAAGATTACATTAAGCCTACTTTGTTGTCATTGAGATCTATTATTCACTTACAGAATACAAGATTTTCATTTTTTCTAAAAATCCACAAAGTATAAAAGAGATTGATGGAACAAGCCTACGGGAGGAAGACTGTGCCCGAGGAAAGGCGGCCTGAGGACTCTGTTCCCACCACACTTAGTAGCTGAGGCTTTGACTCTACACTCCTGTGGTTACTTTAAAACGTTTTAATGGAAGCCATCAAGTGGAGCCATGGTTCACAAAGCAGGATGCAGCACATTAAAAATGCTCCTTTGCTCTGGGAGGGGCCGTGATAGAGCTCAGTGGTAGAGCTCTTGCCTAGCATCCACAAAGCAGGGCCTGGGTTTCTTTCTCAGGCCACCCCCCCACCCCCCCATCCCCCATCCCCCGCCCCAAACACACACAAAGGAGAAAGAAAAAAAGTTTCCTGAACCCAGTGGCAGGCTGTATTTCCAGGAATACCTTGGCAGGTTCCTTCCCAGTGACCCAGTTTTTCATCTTGACAGCATGGAGTTTCCCCTTCATGACTCTTGAGACAGGGTCACCCTCTGTGGCTCAGCTGGCCTTGAACTTATGATCTTCCTGCCACAGCTCCCTGAAGCTGAGATTACATGAGTGCTACCTTATGCCTGGTTCAAAAAGAGATTCTTCTGTACTTTGATTTTCATCTTGTCCGACGCTCACCTGCCTAATAAACTTGGTGGTGTTGGCCACCCTAGTAAATCCAGGGATCTGTAATTTTCTTGATACATGTATAGGTGTAGGGGCTGTTCTAGGATTTTAGAACTCACCTGTATACTTCATTAAAGACACTCAAGGATGTGATTTCCTTGTCCCTCAGTTCAGATAGTTGGGACCTTCCCTTCAAAGTCATTACTACAGTTTTCCCTCAAGCCTTTCTTTTGTGAGTTTGCACACCCTGTATTCAAGTTTTAGTGCTTTTGGGTCAAGTGTTGCTTGCCCTGGTGGGAACTGGGTGAGTATAAGAATCAGGCAGTGCCTGCTTTCTCAAATCTTCATGGTTAACGAAAATTCTTCGAGATTATTGTGGGCTTTATTCTCTCCTTCCTGGTTTAGAGATGAAAAAGTAGGAGAACTCAGAGCTCCAAGGAGAGAACTGCTGTGTGGACCAGTTTGAGGAAGCCAGAGTGAGGGAAGATAAGGATCAAAGGAGGTCTTTTTGCCTGCAGTCGCCTGAATTAGCCCTTATCAAGACTCACAGCTCATTGAGTGCTTTGTCTTTGAACTGTTGATTTCTAAAGCCGATCCAAGATCTCCCCATCAGTCTAGAGGTCTGGAAAACATGGCCCTTTTGTAAAGTAAGATTTAACTGAAGCAAGCACCCTTAGAACAGGTTTCCAAGTCTTGAAGATTCCTGAGGTGGTCAGATTTGCCCTTGCCTGTCTTGGCTTCTCATTTCCAGCTCATGGCTTTTTAAGTAAAAAGAAAAAAAAAAAAAAAAAGTCATCCCTGTCCTCACTAAAAACAATGACTGTTTAAGAAAGAAATCCAACTCAAGATGCTGGCATTCGGAAGCAACCGGGGAAGTGGCTAAAAGATGCCAATGTCCATGGCTTTGGATAACTCTGCCTGTTCACACCGAACTGGGAAGGTAAAGCGAATGAGGATGAGGATGCCAGTTTGGGCTGCTATAAAAGAATACCGTAGACTGGGTGGCTCATGAACGACTCAGGTTTTTTTCTCACAGATCAAGGCATTGGCAGGTTCATTGTTTGGCTGGGACTTGCTTCCTGGTTTATGATGACAACTCTCTGTGTCCTCACACATGGAAGGGACAGGGAGTTCTCTTTCACAAGGCTCTAATCCGGGACATGTGGGCAGTCATTCTCCTTGTACCCTTGAACTGGGGCGGGGGGGGGGGGGGGGGGGGAGTCTACAAACACAAACGGGGTTTCTCTGTGTAGCCCTGGCTGCACCACCATGCCCGGCTCAGGGGCTGGGCTTTTAGTGTATATCTTTGGGGAACCACCCAAACAATCAGTAGATTGAGATCTTTTGTCTTATAGTGCTCAAGTGTTTACTGTTCCTCCACCCCCACTCCCAGGAGGAGGGATTTCACTGGGTAACTCTGGCTGGCCTGGAGCTACCAATGTCAACCAGGCTGGTCTTGAACTCACAGAGAGACACCTGCCTCTGCGTCACCTGCTAAAATCTACTCATATTCATAACTTTGCCATCTCCTGGGTTCATTTGCTAGGCTACCAATTTTCCTTCTATCTAAAAGAATGAATTCTTTAATATATATATATATATATATATATATATATTATAATTTTATATGTGAGTGTTTGCCTGAATGTATTTTGTACTTGTACCATGTGTATGCAGTGCTCACTGAGGCTATAAGAGAGCAGTGAATCATTCAGAACTGGAGTTACAGACAATTGTGAGCAGTCATGTGGGTGCTGGGAATGAACTTGGGTCCTGAGCAAGAGCAGTCAGTTCTCTTAACTGCTGAGTCCTCTCTCCAGACCCTAAGAATTAATTCTCTACTTTTAATTTTTTATATTATCTCCATATATCTTAAAAGAAAGCCCCTCACTAGTCAAAATGGTAGCAGTTTCCCTAACATCATAATTGTACCCCAAACACCATGGAAAATATTTTAATTAGAAGTTGACTTCGGACTCCTGGCCTCTCACCTTCTGTTTGAAGCAAACCAAGCCCCATAGGCCCTGATTTCTTGGATGATCTGGAGTGGAATTCCTGCAGGCTCTGGGGTTTACTTTCCCTCCAGTCACTCTGCTCAGTGGGAAGATGCTGGGTGATGGGAGGATGAGGTGGTTATTAGTTTCCCACTCCTGTCTTGGTTTGCCTTGTGCTGCTATAACGGAAACTTGCGCTCAGGTAATGTCAAGAACCAATGATTTCTATTATCCTACACAGAGAGGCGAAGGACCCACAATCAAGTCACCGCCGTTTGATCTAATGAGGCCCTTTGTTGTAATATTTGTACGTAGCAGAAACAGAGTGCACCCTCCCCATTTTTTTGTCTCTTTTTACTTTTTTGAGACAGGGTTGACCTATCTGTGTCCTAGACTGACCTTAAACTTTCTGTGTAACCAAGGATGGCCTGGAACTTTGGATCTTCCTGCTTCCACATCCTAAGTTGTTGAGAGGACAGGTGAGATCCACCAACCCTGTTTTATGTGACGCTGGGATTTGAACCCAGGGCTTCTTGCATGCTAGGCAAACACTTTACCAACTGAGCCACATCCCCAGCTACCCAAAAGGGTTGAATTTGTTTACAGGGCCACCAGAAGTTTCTTCTCACTATTTGACAACACCCATGACAGCACTGAGTGTTGACTATTCCAAAATGTTTTCCTAATTTGATAAGCCAAAGAGATTAATTTGGTACAAAAGTGAACGTTCTCCACTGTATTTACAGTTGTAGTTTTCTTCCACTTATTTAAATCTTCCTCACACTTTATTTATTGGACCTTACTGTTTTCTTTATTTTTCAGTCTTGCTTGGAAGCTCATAATCCCCTTGCCTTAGCCTCCCTATGTCAGGAATACAGGAGTACACCCCAGCACCTGGCTGGCAAAACTGGTATGTGTGATGCTCGGTATAGACCCAGGTATTTTGTGTATTTTGGTCAAGCACACTGATGATAGGGCTATGTATATCCGAGTCCTTGTGTTTGTTTCCTTTCTCATGCATTAGCCATGTGCATTGTTGATTGTGAGTTGGCCAACTTTGTCTGTAAAAAGTCAAATAGTAAAGACTTTAGGCCTCGTATACCATGCAGCTTCATTTGCAGCTCCTCGACTCTGTTAACTAGGGTGTTGCAAGGAAAGGAATGAGAGTGAATTTTGTTAAGTATTTGTATGTCCTGGGATATTACTCCTCTGGTTCTTGTCAGCCATTTAAGAAACTAGGCCTGGCTGACTATGGTGGTACATGCTTATGATGCAGGTTCCAGTGTAAGTTCAGGGTGGACCAGGCCAGATCCTGAGAGTCTCTCAAAATGAGCTAAAATGGCAATGTCACAGACCTGTAATATAGCTACTGGGGAGGGTGAGGTGGGAGCGTCATAGGTTCAAGGCAGGCCTGGGTTACAGAATGAGTTCAAGGCCTGCTTGTGTACTGAGAGATTCTGTCTGAAGCTGAAAAGTAAAAAGAAGTCCAGGGATAAAGCTCAGTGGTAGAGTACACACACACACACACACACACACACACACACACACACACACACACACACACACTCTGTATGAAATCTGGCACCAGACTGACTGGCTGGTCATGGTTTGCTGATCCTTGTAATAATGACTGTATTTGTTTTACCTGGTTTTCCCATTTACCTTTTAGATTTGTCCCTTAGGCCTACAAAAGTCTAAATTTTTTGTATAACACAAATTTAATTTTCTTGCTATTTTTGTCATAATTTTGAAAGTTAAACATTCTTACTAATGATTAAATCCAAAAATACATGACTTAATTTTAGCTTTAGAGACATATTTTCTGAAGAATTAACTGTCATTCCTGGGGAGTTTATTTTGGTGTGTGGTGTGACTTGATACCTAAATTTAATATTTTTCCTAGTATAAATCCAGTTGTGGATTGTGTTTGTGTGTTCCAAGTTAGTCCCAGGACCTCCAGCTGTGTACTGAGGGCTTTGATCTCAGCCCTGCACCATGCTAACTATGTGGGAGATATGTGCCGACATGTGACTAAGTTTTCCTTGGTTCTTTTTAACTATTTGGCATGGTGTTTTGAGGACAGTGGGTTGAAATTCCTGTAGGCCTGATAGAGATATGTAGAAATAATTATCTTAAAATTTATTTATATAGCTGTCTTATTTTAAAATATTAGAAAATAAAAATTACTTATTGGTGTATGTATGTGTGTCTTAGTTAAGATTTCTATTGCTTTTAAGAGACACCATGACCATGGCACCTCTTATAAATGAAAACATTTAATTGCGGTGGCTCGCCTACAGTTTCATCAGTTCAGTCCATTATCATCATGGCAGGGAGCAAGGGGGCGGCAAGTAGACATGGTGCTAGCTACATCTTGATCAGAAGGCAACAGGAAGTGGACTGAGGATCATACTGAGCAAAACTTGAGCAAAAGAGACCTCAGAGCCTGCCTCCACAGTGACACATTTTCTCCAACAAGGCCACACCTCCTAATAATACCACTCCCTTTGTGGGCCATTTTCTTTCAAATCACGTGTGTGTGTGTGTGTGTGTGTGTGTGTGTGTGTGTGTGTGTGTGTGAGAGAGAGAGAGAGAGAGAGAGAGAGAGAGAGAGAGAGAGAGAGAGAGAGAGAGAGAGAGAGAGAGAGAGGAGAGAGAGAGGAGAGAGAGAGAAAACCCTACAGCTTCTGTTTGGAGGTCAGGTGTTTTCTGGGGATTGAACTCAGGTCATCAGGCTTGATGGCAAGCTCCTTTATCTGCTTAGCTATCTTGCCAGTCCCTGTATTTTCTTTTTTAAATTTTTAAGTAAAGGTGACAACTTGATTCTCTTGATAAATATACTGTGTGCAGTTAATGTTTTACAACATCAGTCAGACATGGTGGCAGGAAGATCATTGTAAGTTCAAAACGAGCCTGGGCTACAGAGTGAAAACCTAGCTCAAAAATGAACAAGTCAGGCCACTAAGAGAGTTTCCTGCTCTTGCAGAGGACTCCAGATTGGTTCCCAGCACCTCTGTGGCCTCACCACACCTGTCATTCCAGTTGCAGGGATTCTTTGGACCTCCGAGATCTCCTGCATGCATGTGGTGCATATTAAAAGTCATGCAGGCAAACACATATGCAAGTCAATCAGTATTTAAAGTAGGAATGCCAGAAACCACAAAAAAAATTGATTTTCCCCCAGTCTTTGGAAGGTGTCATACTCAAATTTATATGTAAAATAACTTTTCTATGATAAGTAACTCTGTAACCCTTTGCAAGAATTATTACTTAGTACCAGAGACACGAGAAAGTGATTAAGATTATGATTTGATAATAAACATAAACCTGCTGAGCCTAAATCCACAAAGCTAAGTTTCGAGGGATGGCCTTCCTGTGAGGCTTAACTATGCCTGCTCTCAGTTAACCTGATGATAAAGAATGGCTTTAGTGCTTTTGTTTGCTGATATCACCAAAAATCACTCTAGCCAAATTACAGTGCAAATCTTTTGGTTTACATTTTGCAACCTGTGTCTATGTAGCTGGACTAGAGTGGTCTGCTTAGAGATTTTGTTTAGTGTCCCCACCCAGTACGGATTTGGAGAAAAATAGTCATGAGTGAAAAAAAAAAGACCAATGGGCTCACAGGAGATGAGAGGACAATGTGGAATTCTTGAATTCTTTTTTGGAAGCCAAATCTATTTTTATAAGCCTTTAGCAGAATACTGTTTGTTCTTGGGATAATTGGCTCCAGCTTTGTCTTTGTCTTTCAAAGAAGCATCAACCAAAGACCGGTTGAGATGACTAGGATAAATGAAATTGGGAAATTAAGAAAATGGATATTTTTTTTCTCTTAAAATGAGAACAAAAGTCATATGGGGTATTTTATTTTTTCAGATAATTTTTAAGAGCCTCTGCCTTTTAACAGAAAGGCTTTGCTTCAGCGTTGTCACTATAGAGAGTGAGTAGGATTCTGATGTCCTTAATGTGGTTCTACAAATGTCAGTCTTGCTGTTTAATCATGGCGTTTCTGCAGAAAGGAGCCTCTGTGGCCACATTTCTCCCTCTTCTCTCATTTCTTTTAATGTCTTAGCTGTAGACTAAGCATTGGAACAGCCGCTGCTAAGTGTTTCCACATTGGAAAGCTAGAAGAACTTGGCTGGATAGACTTCTGATTTTTATAGGAGGGAATTATTTCTCCCTTAGCTGCATTAGAAGTCATCCACTATCTTTACTATTTGGACCTATGTGGCTTGAAAAAAGCAAAACAAAACAAACAAAAAGCCGGAAGAGGGATGAGAAGTTACTAAGAGAACTGATCATTTCTTCATCGAAGGCGGTGAGCACATTGTCAGTGATCAGCTCACTGTTGCAGGGCTTGCCGCTGGAGGAGGCTCCTACCAGGCCCTCTGTGTCCGAGGGAGGAGGCTCCTGCCGGGCCCTCTGTGTCCGACGAGGAGGCTCCTGCCGGGCCCTCTGTGTTCTGTCAGTTCGTGGTTGTCATCCCTTAACATGTATCCAGAGGATCGCCAGTCCTGGTCATAGGTGGGGCCCGAATAGGGACACATTTCAGTACCCTTGAAAGTGTTTTGGAATCTAGACTTTGACTTACTTTCTTTCCCAGTTAACAGGAATGGCTTCATTTTAGTCTGATGTTAGTTAGCTCTTACGTTTTATTGAAATTTTCTAGGCTTCTTTTCAAGGAAGATTTAGAAAGAAACTGGGAAATTACGTTTTGTGTAGACATTCTTGTCTTACATTCCTACTTGTAACAGTTCTACTTGGGAGTAACAATTATTCCCAGTTTTTTTTAAATGTATCAGTTAAAAACAAAAAACAAAACCCCCTCACAAAAGCCAAAACCTAGAGTAAAACATATAGTTCATGGGGTAAGCATGCCCCTTTGTCATTATTTTAGAAGTTCTTTAAGTGACCATCATGCTTAATGAATGAATCACAAGGCCATAGAGAGGTGTGACACTTTTGGCACATTCACTAGTCTATGAATTTGTAGACTAAATAGTACATATATTACTCCTTCTTCATTTCATCAGAACACATTGTCATCCTTTATAAATCACAATTAGTGCTATTGTAAAATTGGCTGATGGGAAATGACATATCAGGGTTATCTGTGTTTTGGATTTAATGTTTCTTGGTTTGAGGGTGCTAGAGTTGAACCAATCCTGCTTTACCATGCAGGAAGGGAAATTTTAAGGAACCCCCTTTTTTTATTCCACTAATAAATGGAGTAAGTTTGATTTGAAGGGCTGCAAATCACAAACACAGATGGCTCAGCTGGGTGATTTGCAAGGAAACCAGATGGGCAAGATGTTGGAAAATTTAGGGTAAATAGCTGGGCAAGTCAGATCTTTTTTCCTTTATGTTTTGGATCTGTTAGAAAGGAATTGGTTTTGGGAGATCATAATTACCTGCTGAAATTGTTCATGTACCTCCCAAAAAAATTAAAAGGGAGAAATTCAATTTTTTGATGTGATCTAGGAAAATAAAATGAGATATAGTGGAAGTGATATTTTCACTTGGTGAATGTCAGGGAACTTCGTGGTGAAAGTGTCGAGCGTGCGTGCATGCATGCA